CCCCTCACATTCTTGGTTTCCTGGTGGTTTCCCTCTAAAACCAACCAAAAACAGTCCGCCATTGTGAGAAACTCCCACAAAGGTCTTTTTGGTTTGGTGTTTCCCGTCGACCCCTGACTAGTGGGGTTCCTTTTGGTCCTCGAAACGTCTTCATAGACGAGACGCTCTCCTTTAGGTTTTGTGGATATGAGCCACAATCAAAACCGATTCGGGTAGATGAAGGTTAGTAAGGGACGATCCCAGCCATAAATAGCTGCGGATATCCGCCTTCTTAATCCTGTACATGGTTCTGGGTAGACCATTTGAGTACCAGGTTTTGATTGCGACTCATATGTTGCAAGAGAGGGGCGGCAGTGAGTCAATGAGGGTCTTGGTTTCTTTGTTCTATCCCAGGAAGCCTTGTGAAGTAGGACTCTTTTGCGGCTTGCATGGCGCAGGGCGCAACCAATTCCTGGATTGTGTAGACCTTTAACCTTAACCTTTTGGAACACGCATGTTTCTCCACTTACTAGCAACCAGTTTAGCATGTCCAGGGCTCCTTAAAAGATGTATTTTGCCCATTTGAAACATAGCTTTTGCCACCAAAATCAATTGAACCCACCATTTACAAGTTGCAATGTTCAGGCGTATCATTCCGGGTCCCTGATTGCAGCTTCGATTTCTACGGCCCTCGTGTCACGGTGGGGTGACCTCAGGGCGCGATAGGGAATGCGGGTGTCGGGAATGAATCGAAAGATATCGGAAGATTCCCAAGGAAGCCACAAGTGCTGGTTCGGGGTCATTCCATGTCTCATGCCCTGCTGAGAACCAGCAAGTGAAAGACTGAAAGGGGAGTCTTGCAGGACGACGGCCTGGAGGAAGGCATTTTCCACTGGCGGCAACTGAGAGGCTAAGCTTCCGAGAGCTGGCCTCAAGGGAAAAGGCTCGTGGAGATCAGCGGTGGTGCTTTTTAGACGATGCGCGATGGCGCCTTTTTCTCTGTTTGTTTGGTGGACCCCCAAAAATGTTGACCCCCTGCCAGCGTCACTGGGCAAAGAGAACGTACTTTGAGAGAGAATGTTTGGCCCCTACAAGTGATAGCCGGTTTCCCCTTGGTATGCCAAACTGGCCCCTTAAAAGTAGCAAAAGGACCGCCCTGGTTCAGACTAGCTGTGGCCTTCAATATCAGGGCCAAAGGGCCAGCAGTTGTACAGGCAGATGGACGAGTCTTTGGGCGACCGGAGGCAACCTTGATCAAAGTGCGTAAAACACATGGCTTGGCCTATGCTGGTGTGATTTCCAAAACAAACACCTGGACCCCAGTGATTCCAAAAAAGCAATCACCGGAGCCTGGTGTGTTCCTTTGCTTCGCTTGGCTGCCTTCGGCTCGTGTTTCAACAGGCGCGGTTCTTCTTCGGCGCCTGACAGGGGCGGCCGAAACGCTTGTCATCGCGCGTGAATGAAATTCCGGGTAGGGGGAGATAGGCATATTTTTGTGCCAGATCCAGGATCCTAGCTGTTGATTGGCGGGATTGCCTTGTGGCTCACAAAACCGGGACCAAATGGAACCCTGGTAAGTGGAAACATGGGCCAAAAAACCTGCGTAACCCTAGCTCTTTAATTTTGAGCCACTGCCATCTGCGACTGGTGGCTCTTCTCAACGTCGGAAAATCCCCACCCCCTTCAAAATGGACTTGGGGGAGGGGGGATTTCGACCCCTGGAGATCTCCATGTAGGGTTCCAAGTTTTCCCTTGGTTGGAAGACTGGATCAACGGAATTAATTGTGGGACCCGGGTCCCACCCCCTTCCCACCCCCTGTGTGCTAGGGGGGAGCGGACCCCGCCGAGGTGCGAGGCATTCGCGGCAGCCCCACGGAGGTCCAGGAGTCCATGGAGTCCTTGCGCAGCCGGGGCTTTGTGAACTACGCCCGGGGCCCCGAAGACCCTGTGAAGCCCCGACTCGGCGGAGTCGGTGGTCGTTTCTTCAGACCGGTGGAAAGAACTTCCATTCTTTGGATTTGGCCGTGGGTCAACACGAATACCATTTTGGGGTAGGTGAATTCACCACCCATTTTAGAACCTATTTTAGTGGGGATTGGGATGTTCACTGGTACGGTCTTTTGACCCATAGCCAATTTGAAAGGCCTGGATTTCGCATGAACCCGGCGTGGGGGTTTGGCGGGTTTCGAGGTAGGAATCGTGGGAGATACTGTGAGCGGTTTGCAAGGTTTGCCTGATTCCAAAGCGCAGTTTCTACACGGAGATCCTACCGTTTCATCAGTTGTTCAAAGCGAATCGACCTTGTGACCTTTTGGTTTCTCCTTTTTGGGCCATTTGTAGTACCAAAAGGCGATGACCTTTTGTTTCCAGGTCCTTTGGGCAAACGAGTTCTTATTCAAAAAAATATGTCCCAATTGCTGGGCATGGAGGCGTTCTGGGGGTTCCACAGAGCGGTCACATGTTGCCCACGAGGTCACGTGCGCAACGGCCTCGGGGTTGTTCCACCAGCTAGCATGCGCCTGTCTTCGGGTGTGTCTTGGAAAGGGGCGTTTCTTTATGCGCGGCATATCAGCTTCACATGGCTGCGTGGGTGGTTGTTCAAGACGCAGGCAACCAGGTAATCAGGATACTCCGTATGAACTTTCCTTTGACCCTGGCCGTGGGTCAAAACCAATACCATTTTGGGGTAGGTGAATTCACCACCCATTTTAGAACCTATTTTAGTGGGCATTGGGATGTTCACTGGGGGTACGGTCTTTTGACCCATGGCCACCTATCAAAGGGCCAACTTGTGCTGACATCATTCTCCTACATGACTTGTCAAAGACACACACACACACACACACCATCTCGCAAGTCACATCTTTGCGCAAGCCCTGAGGATTCCCCAACTAAGTCCTACTCGAGGGTGACGTCATTTGTGGGTGCGTTGTTCAATGATGATTTCTTTGTGGTTTGTGAAGCGACGCGAACGGATGAGGCGTTTGTTCATTATAGTTGTTGTTTCCCCAAGAGTTGACAGCTATTTATTTTTTGCCTAGAGCGGCTTGGTGCCCTTATAGGGTGGGCATCGCTTGACACCACACACCCGATCTAGGGATCATTCTTTCCTGTGCAAATGGAATCAATGCCTTGGCCAGTTTTGTGGCGGGTTCCCTAAAATGGCTATGAATCTGAATGAGAAACCCCTCCCTTCAATGGTTGGTGGACATACAACCCCACTTAAATGGTGTCCACCAGAGGGTTCATTAAAGATTCACACCCAAATGGTGAAGCCCCGAAACGGGTGTCCTTCGCTTTTGCACAGAATGCAATATAGGAATCGATGCCTTGGCCCGTTTTCGTGGTTCCCTAAAATTCGGCGAAGCCCCAAGACGGGCGTCTGTCCTTTTTGGTTGGTTTGCTTAAAAAATCAGAGGGCGATTCCTGGTTTAGAGTCGGGATTTATGCCCCATTTGCCAGGGAGGCCCATCAAAGGTTTCCAAAAGGCCATGCCCAAAACTTGCCAGGGCCATCTTTATTTGTTCAAAAGGCCACCCACGTTCACACCCAAATGGTGAAGCCCCAACATAGATGTCCTTTGCCAGGGCTTTGCCACCGATTTTTCCAAGAGGCCACGCCCAAAACGGGGGGCGTCCTGCGCCTGCTGAAGGTGGGCATGCAGCGCTTCGGGAAGGCGGGCCTGCGCAGCGACGTGCTAGGCCTGGCCTACCTGCAGGCGGGACGGTCCTTCCGGGCACCTTCCGGCCGCGGCATGGAGCTCAGGTTGAAAACGCGAGGTGGCCGTGGTGGTCAAAACCAATGGGATCCCATTTTGGGGTGGGTGCAAAAACTCATTTTAGAACCTATTTTATTGGGGATTGGGATGTTCACTGGGGGTGCGGGATTTTTACCCATGGCCATTTGGTGGGTGCATGTTGGCGCATTTCCACACGGCTTGAAGGGCTAGAACGACAGCTGCAGTGTAAGGGCAGAAAGGCCGTAGGGGTGGTCGAGGCCACGTAGTCTAAGGGCAGTGGACTGGGGGCGCGTGGAGCGCGGTGGCCCGCTTCAGTTTGTCCTTTGCTTTGACCAGGCAAAAAAATACGCGGTTATCTCGAGTTCTAGCTGCGTTGCAGAACTTTGCCTTGCAGTCGGATTGCGAAAGCTAAGGAACCCGCTGGGTTTCGGAGATCCAACCTGTTCCCAATAGACAATCGCACTCGGCAAGCGCAGGGTCTGATTGGCTTCTCAACGTTGTGAGTTGGCTCCCAGCAAAATATGAAGCATGAGCTTCCAAAAGCTTGGCCCGCGCTGTCAGAAAGGTGCCTGGTGGAGTTGACGCCATTTGTTTTTTTTTGGGGGGCCCTTCCCCAAAGGCGCACGAAGAATTGAAGTTGCAATTTCCAGCCCTCCCGAAGGGTTCCTAACGGCACACAAAGATGTTCATGGCCACCCAAATTCCGCCCAAATTGTAAGCATGAGTATTTTCCCTTGCCCTGAGCCCGTTTCCCCTGCGTTGTGTTTGAGGAACCAGCGTTCGATTGCAGCTCGATTATGGTCTGGACCGCGGATTTATTGATTTGTACCGATGAGTTGCAGTAGCATGTGCCTAGTGTAGATGTACGGTGTTGCCAATGCTAAATGTGCTTAATCGTAGGTTCCCACTAAGCACGTACTGAATTCACACATTCTAACTCCAACGAACAAAACACATTCTAACAACAGTGAAATGTGAGTTCCATATTCTACCTGCAATCGAACCAACCACCCAAAATAGCTTCTTTTTTTTGCACGGTTACTTTTTCTCCATGTAAAGCCCCTGTTTTTTGAAACCCATATTCTGACCGCTCGTCCGTGACTGTATCGTTTGCCGAAGCAGAGCTCAGTGGTAGGGCAACTACGAGCGCTGCGTGGACCTGCTGTTGCGGCAAGGAGGCGACGAGGCGCTGGTTTTTCAGAGGAGTCAACGGCCGTGCCCACGCGTGTGGCTCAAACCAATGGTATCCCATTTGGGGTAGGTGCACCACCCATTTTAGAACCTATTTTAGTGGGGATTGGGATGTTCACTGGGGGTACGGGGTTTTGACCCGTGGCCGGACGCGTCACACCAAATGGAACATACGGAGCCCCGAGAAAGTGCCGGGGCGTCGTTTTCCTGCCACCCCCCAAAAAGGGTACGGCACGATCTTTTGTGTCGGAATGGTCAAATGAGCTCTCTACTTGGAGTTGGTAGGGATGGTGATTCACCCTTCTGGTAGGGATGGTGATTCACCCTTCTGGACCTTCTGGACCTTCTGGACCTTCTGGACCTTCTGGACCATGGACTGCATGGCAAGTGCATCACATGCCCAAAGTTCCAGGGGCAAGTGGACCGCACGTCGACCTGCTTGCAACCCAAGCTGAATGCTACTGTGGATGGACGAAATCCTGCACCACTTTGAAACCATGGTTGAAACCATTGTTTCTTGGCATGTACAAGGGGAATCGAATCATTCCAAGTGTGGCGCGAAATGGATCTCGTAACCATCCACAGTCTGAGCGCATCTCAAAATCGGGGAGATCCAAGAGGAGAGTTCAAGTCTTGGTTTCCCTTGAAGCTTGCCTAAACGGGCCACCAGGACAAAGACCACTTCCGTATGGATATGTTGGGCTCCTTCTACAGCGGAGGACTCATCCGCCAGGCCCAGAACCTTGGCCGTTTGCCGAGATGGGCGGAGGCGCCGGACCGGGACGGGACGGGCGCGCTCCGGGCAGCGGTTTGGAAGTGGTTTTCCCGAATAGGGCCGGGGCCAGACTTGGAATGTGGCTTGGTCCTGCTTTTATTTTTTGTTCCTTCGGGACATACCAAAATGGAGGCTATTCCTCCTGGTTTCCCTAAAGCCAACCAAAAAGGGGTTCCTCAAGAACGACAGACAATAGTATCTCGAAACGATTTTGATGCTGTATCCCCGTTACGATTTTGCAAAAGTCATGGAGCCATGTTGAGTTGGATCACTTGGAGGGATGCCGGCATCAGCAAACATCCATAGATTTAATGTAACTACTTGGCCCTTTGACAGCGCGGGAGATGTTCGACAAATTGCCAGGCATTGTTCGGTTGGGGCGGAGTCCAAGAATTAATCCCAGATGATCGCTGCAGAATGGATTGTGCACAGGTCGTCCAGGGTTTCGTTGCACAAGACATGTTCCGTTGTCGATTCCAGCACTTAGCGATGGGTTGAAACACTTCTGCATGTGCCAGTTGTCAGGGGCTGATTTCTTATCTTCGGGCAACACAGCGAATCGGCCAAATCAACCCTTGCACGTGAAATCACCTGGACAGAGACGGCAGATCACCAAGGTTGCGGTTTGTCAGGGCATGGCCTCGATCAAGGCCTGGTGAGTGGTGCATCATGGACTAATGCTCAGAACCTCCGAGCTGAGGGAGGAGAGATCCCATGTCCGAAATGGAGCCGAAGCCATGTGTTCTATCCGGCGCGGCCATGTCAAGTGTTTGAGTCTCTGCGCCATTTTCGGGCCTTTCACACAAAACCTGAGTGGTCTGCGAGTGCGGGGTCTGAGGGTTCATGAAAAGCGCGTTGGCTTGTTGGGTCATGTGTGGCTGCGACTGGTCGATGACGGCCTGACGCTTTGGACCCTTGATCACAGTAAATGTGTCAAATCTAGGGGCTTGGGCAGCTTTGGAAGACTGAAGAACAAAAGTGGCCCACAGTCATTTGCTTTTCTTTGAACTGTTTGGGCATGTGCTGGAGAACAAGGCAAAAGGAACCCCCAATGGCGCCCAAGCAATGTTACCTACATGTCGACCTTCTGTTCAAGTCCATGAGCCCAACGGGGCTCACCCCCAAATAGTGCAAGCAAGCCATGAGCATGGATGTAGATGACAGGGTTCCTGGCTTGTTCCCGTTTTTTGCATCATGGCTTTGGGAAACCAAGCGTTCCAACCAGGCTTGCTAACAGGGCACGTATCTGGTTCCTTACTTGGAAGACCCCTTGCTCGTGGATTGCATGGCCCCAATCGCATGTAGAACAACATATCGGAACATCTATATCTCAGCCTTATGTCAAACACCCATTTCGGAAACACCAACATATTTTCCAGCATCCTGTTTGCAACAAAAGACCTGCCCAAACCTGCCCGCCCAAAGCAATCGCGGAATTCCATCCATTTTTCAGGTCTTCCGCCGCACCGGCAGCGCGGAGGCGGCGCTGCGGAAGATGCCGGAGGCGCGGCCGGCGGCGAGCCAGCGGCGGAGCCGGTAGGGAATGAGAAATGGAAAGCTTTGGGAATCCCGAAGAAAGGAAACCACCAAGGGATGGTTTTAATCTCGGGGTCATTCCATTTCTCATTCCCTGCCTCTCTCGCACCAAGTCATTTCTTTCCCAGACAAGTTGCCCAGAGCTCCAATGGACTTCCTTCGTTCCAGTTGTTTTTGGGGAATTGGTTGATCTAATCGGAATATCCCTCTTACACAGTCGACATGTTGCTTTCCATGTCCCATTGCACCACATTTTGCGAACTAAGCTGGGAGCCTGGGAAATGTTGCGCGACATGTGGGACGTTGTTCAGACCGTTTCATTTCACCACCGTCCGCGGCAGCACCGCTGAACTTAAGATGTTCCAAGCCAAGCAGGCGCCTTTGCAAGCAAAACCGGTAATGTTGACCCAGGATTAATAAACCCGTCCCATGATTAGGGGGGTGTTCCCTCCAAAAGTGATGAATCCCCACTAAAAGGGGACACCCCCCTATTGATCAACCAGGGGTTTATGAATCCGGGGTTAACATTACAACACTGATCCGCGAGCCGCAGTTCCGCGCTAATCGCTCTTTGCGCGCGCACGGCGACCTGCGCGCGCAGCGACCTGCGCCGCTGGCTGCAACGCCTTGAAGCTAAGGGCTGCGGTTTTTACGTGTCGCCGGCATCACCCGCAGGGCAAGCCCGCAGCCACAAGCCCAAGCCTGCAGACACAAAGTTGATCCAAAACAAAGCCCAACAATGCAGCTGCCACAAGGCATCCTCTGCATCAAAGTTCGGCATCCTTTGGTGGGCCCAAAAACTGTGCGCTTAGGGGGGCCTCACCTTTTGGGGAAAGAAACCCTTGTCCTCTGGCAAAGTCCAAAGATCATTCATCCTTTGGGCAGGGCCAAGAAAGCCAATCTTTTGTGAGGGGCCAAAGCATTTTGTCCTTTCTTTGGGAGGCGTCCAAACTTAGTTTCGTCCTTCGGGAAGACCCAAAAGCCTCATTGCCAAGGCACCTAACAAATGTTTAGGGGGTGCCCGAAGCAGAAGCGGAACAAGCCTCTTATGTTGAGCGCTTATCTCACCAACAGCGAGCCAAAGATTGGAGTGTAGAAAGAGGAAAACTTAAAGGAGGGGATTTTTTTCTGGGTTTGTTTCTCGTTGTTTGTTTTGTTAAATCATAATATTTTTCTTTTTTTTCCGCTTTTGGCTTCTTGGCTTTCTGGCTTCTTGGCTTCTGGGCTTTTCGGCTTTTTGCTGGTTTATGCGGCTTTTGGTGGCTTTTTGGCTTTCGCATCCTCTGCATTCCCAGTTCCTCTTCGGCAGGTGGCGTTTTGGCTTTTGCGGCTTTTCGCTGGTTTATGCGGCTTTTGGCGGCTGTTGGCGGCTTTGGGAATTTTGTTTCGCTTTTCGTCCGGGCCAGTAAAATGTCGTATTTTACAGCAATTTCTCGGCGCATTTACACTAGCCCGTCAACATCCCCAGCATCATTTTCAATATCCCCGCATGTCCGACCAACATCCCTAGCATCACCAACAAATCGTGGGTAACAAAGTCCAAAAAGTAGCTGGCGGGTTGACGGGGTCAAAAAATAATGATTCAAACAGGAAGGCATTTCAATCCCAGAAGAAAAAAAAACGGGGGGGATGGTCGCAGAGGTGATGATTCGAATAGGGGTGCAATTAAATCTCTGCAAAACGTCTAAAAACTAGCGCGGGGGTTGGGGGGCGGCAGCCCCCCCCATGATGTTCGAAGAATTGATGATTCAACTAGGGGTGCAATTAAATCTCTGTAGAAAATCTAAAACATAGCGGGGGGGTTGGGGGGGGGGGGGGGCGGCAGCCCCCAATTACTCTCCAAACAATCTAAACAGTAGCGGGTGGGTTGGGGGGGTGGGGGGTTCCCCCCCATGATGTGTGAAGAAGTGATGATTCAAGTAGCCCCCCAAAAAAATAATCCAAAAATAAATCCGCACCCAAACTTAAATAGTGGGTATCAAGGGGCGTGGGTAGCAGGACAGGGAAGCCATCAACGAGCTGAAAGAGCAATCAGAGAGCAGCAAGAACTGGGCAGCCTGCTTTTTCAGCGCACCCGCCCTTCGTCCATAGGGTTTTTGTTGCCATAGCCCGATTCAAGCTGAAGAGCGGCGGCGCGTCGAGCAACTCGGGCAAGACTTTCGCCAGGTAACACCCTCACGTCCATTTGTTTAACACTTGGCGGACGTGTTCAGGTAGCGCGTGCGGATTTTCAGCCCAACCGTGCCACATTGTGTGCGTCCCGCGCGGGGCAGAGCGCGCTGAAGACAGACGACAGCTTGGTCTGCATTGCGAAGGAACTGCATTCTTTGCTGGACTGTTGCCCGAAGCTGCGCTTGGTCATCTTCATCCCTTTTCTTGAGATGCCCAGCGTTTGGCCCCATGGCCAGATTCCACCTTCTAGGGCTGGCCAAGTTTTTTGACAGGGGCCTTGACAACGCTTTTGCTGTTCTGCCGCTCTCTATTAGGGCGAGCAACAAGGCAAGCTTTTGGCTCATTGCGCAGCATCTTGGCGCTTGACGCGGGGGCTTGATGTCTTTGAGGCCGCCCTTTCAGATTTATTTATAGAGACTGAGTTGCACCCTCAATGCAATCATCACTTGTTCGAAGATCACGGGGGGCGGGGCTGTTGCGCCCAACCCCCCCGCTACTTTCTAGATGTTTACGCACCCCCAACTGGCAATAGCAGTAGCATTGGCAGTAGTAGTAGTGGTAGTAGTAGCAGTGGTAGTAGTACTAACTACTACTACTACTACTACTACTACTACTACTACTACTACTACTACTACTACTACTACTACTACTACTACTACTACTACTACTACTACTACTAGTATAGTAGTAGTCGTAGTAGTAGCACCAGTAGTAGTACTAGTACTAGTAGTAGTACTAGTAGTAGTACTAGTAGCAGTACTAGTAGTAGTACTGGGCAGTCTGGCAAAGGTTCCCAAATCCAGCAGCTGCGCCCGTGAACTCTCGCGTCCAAGGTGGACCCAGGACTTCGCGATTCCGCGAAGCCGCCATTGAGCCCAGCCGCTGCCACAAGCTAACGCGGAAATTGCCTCTCAACCTCAACTTCTGAACAATGCGTTGGAGTCCAAACTGAATTTGCCGCGTAGCGGAAGCCCTGTTCAGAAAACACCTGGGAATCTCGAACCTAAAATCACTGAACATGCAGTTTTGGGAGGGGAGGGGGGGGGGGGTAAGAATATATGCATTTATATTTACATGCGTGCGGTATGTTGCATCATGTTTTTTTGTGTTTCAACAGACGAATCTTTGGTGCATCTCGCTTGGATGTTAGGACTTTAACTTTTTGCCAGCTATTGGGGTTTCCATTAAACCACTAAAAGTAAAACCTTTAGCAGGGGAGCAGAAGGCAACCGAGGAATGTAAATTCAGGTTTTTTTTTTTTCCGCGGGAGCAGCTGCAGGGCAGCTGCTGGGCGGAGCGGCGGCTGCTTCTGGCGCTGAAGCGCCGCCAGGCGCGGAAGCGTCTGGCGCCATAGGCGGAGAATGAGAAATGGAACCCGATTTAAACCATCCAAGTGGTGGTTTCCTTGAAGTTCTGCTTGGGATACGTTTTTTTTTCTCTTTTTTTTTTTCCGTCGTGTCGAAGGAAGAACCAAAGGAAGTCATTGTTTTGTTTTTGTCAGGTGTAGGGGAAAAGACTCAGTAAAAAGCAGGTTTGGAGGCTACTAGAGAGACCCTTCGGGGGTTGGTTTGGAGGCTACCGGGCCATTCTCCCTTGGGGGTCGGGGTTTTGGATGAGACAGGTTGGGTTTTGGATTGGTTTCTACTGAGAATTCGCAAACACAAGGCACTGTTGAGAACTCCTTGGGGGCACTTTTTTTGCAACCTCACCTGGAAGTTGTAGGACTAGCCGCGGGTCGTCATTGTTGATGTTGCTTTGGAAGCTACAGGGAAACCTACCATTTGTTCGGTTCTCCAATTCGACACGAACCCACATTGAGACCACCCATTTTAGCATTTGGCAGCATCTTATATGCTTATATGTTTGCCATTTGTTACAATGATCGCAGTAAGAAAGATTGAAATGCAAGGTAGGGGGTTGAACATTGATTACTCCAACTTGATGAGGAAGACTGGGCATTACACCCCAAATCCCAGGCACATAATGAAGAACGCAACGAGTTCAAACGCGCGTACAAAGATTGGACAATCGTAGGATATCCAGTCAGATACGCGATCCCTGCATTGAAACTTCCACCACGTTTGCCTTGCGTCCATTGGTCCCCTTCACATGTTTAAGCTGAGTCAACCCGTAAAAAGCCTATCAAGCCCCACAATTGCAGGTTGAACAAGCAGGTCTACAGAGTTGTGGGATGAGGGGTTCCAATAAACCTCCCCCTTTTTCTCGAAGGTATCACAGATGTGGCACCTTCCCTTGTTCCTCACTTCTCCCGGACAGCGGACTTCCATTTGTCGGAGAAGGTTCAATCAGCAGCAACAGCTCTATGGATTTGTTCTGACCAATCCGCGGAAGACATAGGTTTTACTTTTGGACAAAGGGAGGTGTCCTAAGATTGGTTCCGAGTCTGCAGGGGTTCTGGAAACACCGGGCGCTTCAACCTCGAATTCCCCATACTGCGGATGGTTGCGAAATCCGCTTCAACCGCACCACGAAATGACACCGTGGGAATGAAACAGTTATTTGTTGGTATTTACGTTGGGGAGTCGAATCAGAAACCAGGGATTCTGAATGGTTTCCGCAGTATTAAAATAGGCGATCCAAAGTTGAAGGACCACCTCGTTTGAGGCATGTGAATGACCCTTCCCTGCAGCCGAGAACATACCCAAGGGAATGTTTTGGGGGTGACGTGCCTCCCTTCCATTGAAGGGACGGAAGACGTTGCTTTGCAACGCGAAAAGACATTGACTTGGGGCCCTCCAATTCCCATGCTAGTGGATAGGAGGGTAGATGAGGCACGCAAAGTATTGCGTGCCAACATGTGCCAAGAACTGCATAAATCAATTCGTTCTACTGCGATCATTGTAACCAATGGCAAACATATAAGCATAACATATGCTGCCTTAGATGCTAACACAGGATCCAGATTCTCAACATGTGCCAAGAACTCGATGCATCGAAGACCAGATACTTACCTCTTAGAAAGCACAAGTTTTCAACTTTTTGGGTAACATGGGCTATGTGTCTGTAAAAGATTAACTTCCCCAGGGCTTGGAGTCTAAAGGGGTAAGGATATGAACTGGGGTATGAACTCGGGGCGTTGGGAAGGCGCTGAAAGCACTACGCGTTTGCAGAGCGCCCACTTGACCAGGCGCTCAAAGCGCATGGAGTCAAGCGGCGGTTTCATGGGTGTTGGAAAACATGTGGCCCATTTTTGACTTCTTGTGGTTTACCCTCCCTCCAACAATCATGGAAGTTGACAGGAGAGCTTTGGAAGGCTATTTTCCTTTTGGGGAACCCCTTTGTGCACTTCCATGATTGTTGGAAAGAGGGTAGTGGTTGAAATCCAACCACTGAACTGCTAAAATCTGAAAACAATGGCCCCCCTTCCAACGTCAAGCGAGGTTTCACCGGCGTCTTCTGCGCCCTTGGCTTTCGGACGCAGGAACTCGACGGCGGCACTGCCCCACAGGCGCTGTGGGAGGAGGCAGGCGCCTGTGGCGTCGGTCGGCTCGGGATTTGTGCGTATGGAGTGAAATCAAGTGGAGCCGCCTGAATCACACACCAAAGCTGGTGGGTGATCCGCTGAAAAAAAAATCGGGGTTTAGTTGAGGGGTGTTTCTTGCGGGGATCCTGCTGTTGATGGACGAAATCCTGCGCCACCTAAGAAAGCCTGGATTGACGATTCCCTTGGAAATACCAAGCAAACAATGGTTCTCCGTGACTCCGTGGTTTCAAAGTGGTGCGAACGGATTTCGTCCATCCGCAGTATTTCCAGGTAGTCTGTGTCCTGAAATTAATTGTTATGTTAACCATCCTCTTGCCCAACCACGATACATTATACCATGAATTGGTGTTAATGGACAATATTCTAATATGTATCATATGCACTAAAGTCCCAAAATAGAATATTACTGTATCTGGGGATCGTCCATCCGCAGTATTTCCCTGTACCAACAAACCATGGTTCAACCATGGTTTCAGAGTGGTGCGAACGGAATTCGCAACCTTCCACAGTGCAGCCCTCGACGATTTTCCAGTGGTCCCTATATTTCCCTTTTTGGTGGCTTTAAACATCGCCTTTTTGGCCCATAGAAGGTGAGTGTCCCTTGGTGGGTGGTGATATCTTAAGGGGAAACATAGGGCGCCCTGTTTTATTTCCCCTCTCAGGGACGCGCCCAGCAAGCGCGCCAGGCCCAGGCGGCGCCGCAGACTTGGGCGGAGACTGCGCGGGAGGCGTTCCTGAAGCTGCCCAGGACCGTCGAGGTCCTTAGGTGCCCGACCTCTCACCCGAATTTCTTTCTTGGTTGGGAGGTATAGCGGAGAACCAGAGGCTAGGTCCTTTAGCTAAGTGCCCTTCTCTCCCGTGTTTTTGTTCTTCTTCTTTTTTCCTTGGTTGGGAGGGTTCCAAACTACTAAAATAGACTAGAGGAAAAAAGGGGGGGGGGGAAAAGAAACAAGAAACGGGTACCAACTTAGTCTAACCTCTCAAATCTAGAGGACCCAAAACGTCGAGTAGCAAGCCGTCGGTCTGAAATGGAACCATGGAACTGGGCTCCAAGTTGCTTCCCTTGGCTCCCAGCCATCCGGTTCCTTAGCCTTTAGCCTTTTAGTGTTTAGTGGTTGGTTTTCCATTTAGCCCACTAAAGGTTAAACACTTTGAGGGGATCAGTTTGGACAGCTCAGTTCCGTTGGCTGAAGCGAATAGATTGTACTTTTTATCCGGTTGTGACGGGAATCTAGGAAGACAGGGAATCTTCTCTTCTATTGGACTTCAGCAATTCGAGGATTTGGTTGCCTGAAGCAACGCCCGGCAAGGTAGGTCGACGTGAGGGACGAAGCTTTGCTCCAGATGTCAACCACACAAACTAGAGGACGGGCGGCCCTAGTTTCTTTGCAAGCTTTTTACGGTGAGCTCATATTTCCACTGTGGCTCACGTGGTATTGTTTTGTCTGTTTCATCCAAACAGTTGTCCGCTTTGCATTGTTGTACTTGTTGTGCCAAGGAGAAAATTGGACAGTCCGGCCTCCCCCATTTCTTTGTGTCCTCCCCGAACTTACAGTAAACAGATGACCAATCATTTTCTCAGCTTCATCAACAGGGCCGAATTTCTTCAAGGGCAGGCGACAGAACGCGTTCCCTCCAAACAGAACTGTGCTGATGCACTCCTGGGCTGTCTTGGCAGTTGGCATGGTCCTACTGTGGATGGTTGCGAAATCCGCTTCTCGCATCACAAAACGACACCATGGGAATGAAACTGGTATTTGTTGGTATTTACGTTGGGGAATCGAATCAGAAACAGGAATCAGAAACAGGGTTTCTGGAAACCAGTATTTGTTGGTATTTACGTTGGGGAATCGAATCAGAAGCTTTCTGAATGGTGGTGCGAAATGGATTTCGTGAATTCCGCAGTATTAAGATAGGCGATCCCCAAAGTGGAAGGACCACCTCTTTGTGTGAATGCCCTTTCCTGTCAGCAGGGCTCCTTAAAAGATACAGTTTGCCCATTTGAAACATGGTGTTTTCCACCAAAAAAGAAGGGACACCTCCATTTACAAGGCAATCTTCAGGTGTATAACGTAAGGATCCCTGTGTCAGCAGGAACATAGGTCCTGTTTGGCACAGTCCTATGTTAGCCGTGGATGGCAAGAAGTTGGTTGCGCTGCAAGACTCCAGGCCTGTGATTCTGTGATGCCCCCGCCTCACACGCGAAGAGATGGTTGCTTCATGTCCTGCACTTGTGGTCAGGACCATCCGTGCCCTCTATGTCCACGCGTACATTGACCGCTTGTGGAATCTCGCTGCCACTGAGCGCCTAAGCCGCTACGGACAAGAGCCACTTGGCAGAAGCAGAAAGCAAGTGGGTGGGGCTCAAAATTAAAGAGCTAGGGTGACGCAGGTGGTCTTTGGTTCCATTTGAGCAGCGGTTTTTAATCAAATGAAAGGGTTTATACAAAAAGGGAACTGCATGTACTCTGCGGAGGCAATCCTGGTTGGGGGGGTAGGCTCGCGTAGGCTTCTGCGCGTAGGCTGTTGTGTCAGCCCTCGCGGTGGCTTTTCGCGTAGGCGTTTGAACAAATCATGGCTCAATGCTGTTTGCCAAGTATAGCGGAGTTTTTAGCTTCTTTGCCTTCCTTCCGTTTGTTCTGCAGTCTTCGCGTAGGCTCCGCGTAGGCCCCGCGTAGGCATTTGCGTAGGCATTTTAGAGTACGTAGACTTTTTCTAACAGCCAGATCCTTCAACAGATGCGGCCAAGCAATCGTTTCGCAAAGGTCATCTTTAGAGCTGGAGCTGTCAAAACTGCTCTTGTACTGAAAAGCTGCGATTTTCCAGTTAGAGCTGCCAACCTGCGCTTCAACACTTGATCTGAACATTTGCCCACGTAGCCGTCCGCGTAGGCACCTGGAAGATGACTTGTGCTCGCGTAGGCACCCTTTGCAGCGGCGTAGGCTTGCGGAGGCTTCCGCGAAGGCGTGCAAGTAGTGTATAGGCCCCGAACCACCAAAAAACACTGCTCATTTACCCAGGTGCCAGTTTGGTACATGTTTTGGAGCTACAGCCAAGTGTGCGTGTGTGTGTGTGTGTGTGTGTGTTTTCTGCATTGGCTGGATAAGAAAGGCTTGCTTGGGATCCCCGCACTCACCGATCCCGTCCACTATGAGGGAGCTATAGCACCGATTTTGACTGAAGAGTTGCACCAGAGAATTACTACCACAGGAAACAGGCGAAACTACCCCTTGTATAGCGTCCATATAGTGGCTGCTTATTCCATTAAACCACTTGGTGCAGTGGAAACCATCCAAACAAGGCACTATTTCTTCGCAGGCGGCATGTCAACGCGCAGGCTTGCTGAGGGGGACCTTGTGCAGGACGACCAGCCCAAAGGTTTCAGGCACGGGTTCAGGGCTGCCAGAATGATGGGGCGTCCGTGTCCTTTGGGTAAACACCACCTTTGAAAAGCAAGTCGGAGAAAGTGTCCTTTCCGTGTGGTATCTCAGTGGAAAACTAGGGAGCCCTGTACAAGGGGGCTGGCTGCAAGGAAGGTGCCTCAGTGTTTAGTTAGGGTGCCACGTTCGGCCTTCCATGAGTCTGAATTGTGAGATGTGTCCCGTTGCAGCCATGCTTGGCAAGCTGTTCACCTACATGCAGCACCTACTATCCTCACTGCCAAGCAAAGGCTGATCTAATTGGCGCAAGACATGACGATTTCTCCCCCAAAAGTCAGGAAGTCTTGCCAAGTGATCTGGGGAGCGTTCTCAATCGGTTGCTTTCGTTTCCCTTCAACAGACGTGCCGAACAGAGAGAAAGGGAATCGGAGGAATGGGCATCGCCGGTGTCAGGCTTGATCTCCAAAGAGACTCGCGCATCGTGCGTGGGTGTCTTGTTTGTTGTGCTTAAAAAAGTAGAGGGCGATTCCTGGTTTACCAGGTGGGCTGAAAAACAACCCCGCGCCTTTTCGTTATGTAAGGGGCCATCCTTTAACTTGCTTCGCAGGCCAGGTGGTTCAACCCAGGTTGCTCAATCATCTACCAGGGAAACCCATCGATTTTTCCCAAAAAGGACATGGACTCGTGGCGTGGCAATTGGAAGGAAACTCTCCCGTTGAAGCCTGGGGCCATGGAGAAGAAGTTAGGCTGAGACGGGCGGGGGGTCCTTTTTTGCCACCTCTTGTGAGAAAATGGGCGACCTACGAGGGGTTGACCATTTTTTCCACAAAAGATGGCAAAAAGACCCTGGGCCGAGAATCATAACTGGATCAATGACTCATATTTGCGGCCAAAAACAAGGTCACACGGAGGTATAAAACCTGGTGGTTTCGTGGCCGCTCCTTTCTCTTGGAACCTGACAGCGGGTGCGCGTGAACGGGTGTTCTTACCATTTGGCTGGCATGTGTGCAGTGCTGAGCGGGTGCGCGTGAACGGGTGTTCTTACCATTTGGCTGGCATGTGTGCAGTGCTGAGCGGGTGCGCGTGAACGGCTGGCATGTGCGCAGTGCTCAGCGGGTGCGCGTGAACGGGTGTTCTTGCCATTTGGCTGGCACGTGGTGAGCGGGTGCGCGTGAGCGGGTGTTCTTACTATTTGGCTGGCATGTGTGCAGTGCTGAGCGGGTGCGCGTGAACGGGTGTTCTTACCATTTGGCTGGCGTGCAGTGCTGAGCGAGTGCGCGTGAGCAGGTGTTCTTACCATTTGGCTGGCATGTGTGCAGTGCTGAGCGGGTGCGCGTGAGCAGGTGTTCTTACCGTTTGGCTGGCATGTGTGCATTCATGACATGATGCGCGTGAGCGGGTGTGCTTATCATTTGGGCGTGTGTGCAGTCATGACATGATGCGCGTGAACGGGCGTGCTTATCACTTGACTGGCATGTGTGCAGTCATGACATGCTGCGCGTGAGCGCGTGTGCTTATCATTTGGCTGGCATGTGTGCAGTCATGACATGATGCGCGTGAGCGGGACTGCTGCGAAGCACAAGAAAACAGGAGGTCTTTTACCACCGTGAGTCCAAAAACAAGCACGGCGCCCATGAAATCATCTGAAGGCACCAAGAGCAGGGATATTCAAAAGCAGCCTGTTTGCACTTTTCCGAGGTGTGAATAGATGGGTCAATGATAGAGGGGCGCGTAAGTCTTTGGGGTCATCTAGGATTAGGCAACCATATGTGACCTAGGCCGGTGTGGTTGAAACAAGATCCAAACTGGCCTCAGTCGGGTTCTAATCATTCAGTGCCATCGATTTGTCTAAAGCGACACCCACTCTGGACAGCCAGGTTGGCAGAAGCACGCGAGGCCCCGCAAAAGCGGTCGTTTTTTTTTCTCCGGTCTCGTCAGATCCATCGGGTCAGCGGCAGTGGTTCGAATGTTGGTCACTGGGTCAAGAATTCCACCATGTATTGATCAGGGGTTACCCTGGAGGCAAATAGCCACAACACATAATCCTTGATACACCAAATGCAAAAGTGAGGGGGCGATTTAGATCAGGGGTAAGCTGACATGGATTGATAGTTCAACATTCAGAGGTTGTTTGTTTCGTCACCACAAGGATAGCCAGGAAAGCAAACCTTGTGCAGGTCCTGCACCAGCCCTTTCTTTTCCAGCATCGCAGTGCGAATCACGTGCCCCGGGTCGAACACACTACCTTTGGAATGAACATGCATGAGCTCCTAGTCACAAGAGTAGAAAATTGGTTTGGTTGTTCTTGGCTTCACTTTCGGAACTTTGGGGACGAATTGTTTACCCTCCCGCAGGGTCTTTGAAGATACCCGCTTGAAGGTTCACATCATTGTGACTGCCTCACTCGCAACCGAGTGCGGCCCTGATGCTCACCCAGAGCTTGATAAATGCAATATGGTTATTTTTCGTGACATGGTCGGGCATGTTGCTCTCGACATTTGAAGAGAACCTGGAAAGAATTGAGAGCATGCCTAATCGTTCTAGAAGCACTGCTTGCGAGCACTTGGGTTTGCTTGCCTGCTTTGGCTACAGGTCGCTGTTAACAGCATGCTGACGAAATTGGCAGACGCGAGGCCCTGGACATGTGCAAGCTGCTGCTTCCTCGACCGGGCTCAGGCGCTGAGAAACGCTTGTCAGATCTGTGATTCCATGCATTTGGGCTTGTCTTTGATTAAGCATCCCCCCCCCCGGTTTCTGGGTTTGCTGGGAACGCCAGAATCCCGCATGACCTCCAATTCACGTCGTAGTCCCCGCGGTTGTGGGAAGGGTCGTGATGGGAAAACGGTGTTGTGTGTTTTTGTGGTTGCCGCTGCCTGCTGTGCCGCACGACCCTGGCCACTGCATTCCAATTCGGATAGCAGCTTCCCACATACACAAAATTAGATGCAGGATGCAGCACGCAACCACCTGTTGTGTTGTCATGTGCAACACCTAGCTTGGAGAAAGGTTGACTTGTTGCGCCACATGGTCTAGAAGTTTTCGCAACTACTTATTTTGTGGTGCGGGGGGTCATGGAGGTGTGTGTATCTGTGTGTTTGTGTCTCTCACAAAGTGTGGCTGTTTAACGATTCAATCATTGAACATGCAAACAGCTGAGCACGTGGATTGTCCTACGATTATGCTTGCGGTTTCACTTTGACATGTCCGGCAATATTGGACACAGCTCTGAATATTGCCTAAACAAGGCGTTGCCAACAATATCTATCTCAGCCGCGAACGTAGAACCTGACAAAGTCCCCTGATAAAATTGCATTCTGTCACGTTCCATATTAGCGGGTAGGGTAAGCATATCGCTGTTTGTCTCGCTCAAGATACCCATGAGCAATCGGTGCGCATTTCTTTTCCACACATATCCTAGATTGTTGCACAGTCCTTTTTGGGACAGGGGAAGCCTGTTTTCCCGGCGGGTGTGCGCACAAAATTGCAACCCCCGTAGGCGTGAGGCTGCCTGCGAACAGCGTTGGGAGCTTCATGCGACTTGGCCGACACACAAGAAGGCACTGGTTTGTCACATTGGTTTTCCATGGTGTACTGGACTGGTCATCTTCCCTTGGTGGCTCCCAGCATCCCCTTAGCTTCTTAGCATTTTAGTGTTTAGTGGGGATTTGCATTTAACCCACTAAAAGGTAAACTTTTGGCGGGGGATCTGAGGACAGCCCAGTTCCCGGCACGACATGCTGCACATGGTGATTTTTGCTGTCTCACTAAGTTTGTTTGGAGGTCACGGAGTGTACTGAGACCAAGCCTAGGGAACTGACCAGGGTGGCTGGCCTGCCAACCAAAGGACAATTCCAGGTCAATCAGTGTTTCCCCCTTGGAGAGAAGTCGACTGTCAGCGCATGTCACAATACGCACCCGAAGAATCAGCCGGCTTTTCATCAAGCACGTGTTTGCACTTGGATGTTCAGCAGAGCAACAGATTTTCCTGTGAGGTACCAGGGGGCCCTCCAGATTCTGTCCGCACAAATTCATAGAACCGTATGCTCGGTGTCCCGTGGTTGCTTCATCGCAAATCAGATCGCAGGCAAAGCTACTTGGCCTACGATGGCCTGGATGTGGAGGATTTGAGCCTTGAGGCGAGAGACAAACGACAGGCACAAAGCCAGGCGCTATCGAATGACTGGCGGTTTTTCCCGAGCGACTCCTCTGATTGTTTTTTTGGGTTGGTTCGTGGTTTTTAAGTTGGAATCCCAGCGAATCCTTTGATTTTTGGGCGGTTTTGGTTGTTTTTAAGTTGGTTTCGTGGTTGTGTTTCCGTATTTAACCCACAAGTTAAACTCACTCACTTTTAGCAGACCCGAAAAGGGAAAGCGCATCAGATGACAAACAGCGAAGTAGCGTTTCGAAACCGGTGTATGGCCACCTTCGAGAAGCACGCGTTTGGTGAGCTTTGGATGGCTTAAAACATCAGGAAGCAAGGCTTGAACCGGATTTCCATGCGAGATGTCGGATCTTACTGGGAAGAGAAACAAGTTCCTGCCAGATTTCCAGCCTTTAGATTGTTTCCTCAGATTGTTTCCACAAATCCGCCGGATTCCTCAGATGGTTTCCAGCCTTCCAGCCTTGATGTTTCCTGCTGAGTTGCTATGTGTCAAGCTTGACGCCTCGAGTCCACGCTGGTTTGCTGCAAACAGGGTGCTGTTCATGCCTGAACAAAAGGCATTCATTCAGCATATAGGCTGGGTCTTTGCTCATTCACGGAAAGACGGTCATACTGGTTTTGACGTGGGCTCTTCTGTGTTTAAGAGAGAGAGAGAGAGAGAAAGAGAAAGAGAAAGAGAAAGAGAAAGAGAAAGAGAAAGAGAAAGAGAAAGAGAAAGAGAAAGAGAAAGAGAAAGAGAAAGAGAAAGAGAGAGAGGGAGGCCGTGAGCATTCAGACATTCCCAGCTTAGCTTACATGGATCAGCGCATGGATCAGCTGCGCTAGTTCTCCCATCTCCACCCAGACAGTTAGATAGGGCAATGGTTTTCACGAGAGAAAAGCTGTCCCTGTCCACAGCCCCAAATCAAAAAGGGCCCTGGCTGTTTCCCTGCAGACCCTTTCTTTTTTTCAGAAATGCGCATAACAAGGCTCCAACTTTAGAGAGAGCAATTTCCAACTGGATGAAAGGATGAAGATCGTGTCCTTTAGCATCGCAAAAGGAGAGCAAGGAATGTATTTTCCATTAGGTAACCTAAAAAAGAAGACGGAGAAAAAGGTGTCCCATGAACATCCCAAAAAAGAGATACACAGGTTTCCTTCCAAAGAACTCAACAATATACTTTCGGCAACACAACGTTTCCTATGACAAGCCAGAGAAAAAAACAAACACGGATGCCCATCTTTGTAGTCTGAGGAAATCCACTGGGCATCTGGGGGTATGTGTTCTTGTTCGTGTTTCAACGGACCGCACAAAAATCGAAACGGATCATGAAAATCCACTGGGTATGTGAGGGATATGTTGTTTGTTTCGTGTTTCACCGGAAAAACAAAAAACAAAGGTATATGTGAGGGATGTGTTTTGGTTTCGTGTTTAATAATAATGATATACATGTGACATATATATATATATATGTATACATAAAGGGGACACGGTGGTTTCGGAGAGATCCGAAACTCGGCTCTCAGGTGCCCGGCGGCACGCAGCAGCTCAGCGGCTGCATGCGCCCAGTGCTGGTGCGGCCCCAGAACTTGAGGCCGAGACAGGAGGTGGTTTCATCGTGGCGTACAATGGACGTGTGGGTAATTGTTTGGTTGGCTGGTGGGTGAGTGGGTGGTTGGTTGGTTGGTGGGTGGGTGGTTGGTTGGTTGGTGGTTTTTTGGTTGGCTGGTGGGTGAGTGGGTGGTTGGTTGGTTGGTAGGTGGGTGGGTGGTTGGTTGGTTGGTGGGTGGTTGGTTGGTTGGTTGGGTGGGTGGTTGGTTGGTTGGCTGGTTAGTTGGTTGGTGGGTGGGTGCCTTCATCAAGGGTGATCTCCTTTTGTGGGCGAGATCACCTTATGCAGTATGGGTGGCAACTGCTGTCTTTCCCGGGAGAGTTGCTCACACCTGATTCCAGAAGAAGTCACACCAAGTCCTGAAAGAGGACCCCTAGGTTTTCACAGCCTGCTATCCAGTGCAATGGGTCGCCTGGCAGCTAGACACCCTTGACAAAAAGCACAAAAACCGGTGATTCGAACCAGTGTCCACAGGTGGCCAAGTTTGGTTTCTGTCGGATTGCCAGGGTTTCCACTTACCTGTCTGAAGAACTGGGTCTACGGAAAGACTTGCATGGCGTTTCTCAATGGCCAACTCAACGGCCATCCATTTCACAACTCAACACAAGAAACCGAACGCCCCAGTTCCGATCCATTGCTTGGAAGGGGGCATCCTCTATGAATGTCAAAAAGGAGCAGCCTCCCAACTCTTCGACGTCCGGACCCAAAATTCAAAGTCATGGCCCCTGCCAGGTAGGTGCTCCGTGAGTTCAAATTTATCCGTGACAGAAATGGAGCTTGAGGAGTGAATACTGCTCCCCCACTTCTCCACGGGCCATCAGGGTTCCGTACATGTCTCCTTTTACATCAAAGGGAAACCCATTCGAACCCACCCAACCAACCAACCAACCACCCAACCAACAAACCAACCAACGAGTTGACTTCCATTTGCCAAAATGAATATTGCTTCTGTTTCCTTGCTGGTTCGAAAGGGAATCGCCTTCACTACTTACTGGACAAATAGGTTCCCACTTTTTCCCGCGAGCTCAAGCTTAAATGGACGTTGAGGATTCCTGAGTCGGTGAATTTCCAGTCATCGCTGCCGACCCTTGGGCGAAAGCGCAAATGGACGCGGAGGGTTCCTGAATTCCGGTGGGTGAATTCGAGTGATAGCTGCCGACGCGAAGTGCAGGTGGCACCTGGAACCTGACCTCGGGGATCCAGAAAAGGAATGGGACGAGCCCGCCAAGGCGGGCCTAAGAAGAGTTTGAACAGGGCTCCTTAAAAGATACATTTTGCAATTTTCATCCCGAAATAAAGGGAACCTCCATGGACAAGGACATGTTAAGGTGTATAATGTAAGGATCCCTGTTGAAGGGCAGAACCACGGGAAGAGCGAAACCCTGCAGGAAGCCATATATAGTTGTGTCAGAATGTTAGGACTACGTTTTGGCGTCAGGGTGTTTTTGTTGTTGCTTGTTGGTGTGATTGATTGATCGAACGATCGATTGATTTGTTGACGAATTGATCGTTGGAAGAAACAGATGATGCTGTCCACCGACCAATGGGCTATGTGTGCTGGGGGGGGGGAAGCAAAAGCCGCAAGACTGGGGTTTTATCTGAAATCAGGGAATCATCATGATTGTTTGATGGTGTTCCTTCGGAGCCTGACAAAGTTGGCACGTGAGGGCTGTCACCGATTTGTGAATGGCTGGACATGCCTTGAGTCCGTGAGAGCGGAACTTAAGGACTCGGACCGAAAATCCTGACTATTGCACATGCTTGATAAATCGATCTTGATTCGACTTTCATTGGGACCATCTAGCTTACTCTCCCTGGGGGAAGTTTTTCATGGCGCAATCCAGAATTCAAAAAGGAGATTCACTTGCAGGTTTACCTGGAACCCCAAAACCCAAAACCATCACTTCGAGGAAACTCCTTTCCGTTTGGGAAATGGACCCTGTTTGTGGGGGGCTTCTGTTAATTTGTGGCCACGACTCATTTGCCCCTTGTTTCAAGTGGGACATGCCCACTTTTGCGATACTAATACGCCTTCCTGATGAATTCTTGACCTCAAGAGAGAGTCTCCTTGGCACAGTGGGAATCAACCTAGTTTAACCTCTGAAGTGTGAGCACGGCAAAAAATAGCCAATCCCTGCTGCGCTCGAAAACACTGGCGGCTATGGCAAAGCTACACTTTCTGCAGCCACTAGCAGCAACCTCTGAGCTTGTTAGCTCGGACACACAGACACACATAGCTGACCAAGCACAGCAAATGGGCGGTAAACGCCGTGATTGAATCAAGCTTGCAAGACGCACCAGTCCATAAAAGCAATTCCCCAAGTTTGAAATTCAAGCTAAGGTTGCATCCAGGAATCTGCAAATTGTGTGAATCCTTTTTCACGTGCATTGGTCCATGCGCGACGATCAACTCGTACATCGCCTTGTGACACGTTGACACTTAGCAAGGTCTGCAGCACTCAAGCTGATCCAAGTCATCAACTCGTGAACTTCTGCGGATTCATGTGATTCAAGGTGACCCATTCAAAGTGACCCATCAGAAGGGATGTCACATTGGCTGCCTTTCCCGTCAGGGTGCACCATGTAACAACCCCGATGCCACTCTTTAGTTTTCAGTATCGCGGTGCATCAATCATAGCAAGCTCGCAGATTTGTGGCAACCAGCTCGCAGATGAAAATCCTTAAATGAGAGGAGAGGAGTTTCAACAGATGAACCACCCCGCAAGTGAGTCAGCTCACCTTGAAACACATTCCTTGGGTAAGTTGGCTTTTGGCAGATTTGCATGGTGAATTGCATAAAGGGCACGCACACGCACACACGCACACACGCACACACGCAAACACGCACACACGCGCACACACACACACCCACACACGCCCACACGCCCACGCACGCACGCACGCACGCACGCACGCAGCCACGCACACACGCACACACGCACACACGCACACACGCACGCACACGCATACACACACAGACAGACACACAGACAGACACGCACGCACGGACACGCACACGCACACAGGCACACAGGCACACAGGCACACAGACACACAGACACACAGACACACAGACACACAGACACACAGACACACAGACACACAGACACACAGAAAGACAGACACACAGACACACAGACACACAGACACACAGACACACAGACACACAGACACACAGACACACAGACACACAGACACACAGACACACAGACACACAGACACACAGACACACAGACACACAGACACACAGACACACACACACACACATGAACCGCTTTGCAGTCCACATGTTTAAGCACTTTGTTGCCATAGTATGCGGATGGTCTTTTATATATGCTATTGGGTAGTATGCTTGCACGAACCCGAAGCACGCGGGATGGAAAAGGTAAGCAACCCATTACTACCACTGGGTTGCAACAAGGGGAAAGGAATTGCAAGGAGCCATCAAACATGGCTGATGGAGGCAAGTGATGTGCACCACAGCGTCCCCAATTGAAAGTCATATATGTCATAAACGCTACCCTCAGCCCAAACATTGGCCCGACCAATCTGCAAAGCCCAGGAGCTGGGTATAAGTTTGCAAAAAAAATGCTTTCTGCCGTAACTTTCTTCGCGTGTTCATCATCTTCGACAGGTAAGGCGGGCTACCAGCAACTTCTCGCGGGCTCGGGCCAAGACAACGCAGGGGCAGGGCCCCCTGGGTCTCTGGGCGCGTCTGCCAAATCGAAGGCCCGAAACGGCTTGAGGAGGAAAGGGTGACCCTTAAAATTGTACCCATAGTTCCAGTTGGGAACTCCAAAGCGCCAAATGTCAAAGAACCCTCCAGCAAGAGATTTCACGAAGAAAGTGTCCTCTTGCACACTCAGCTGCCAACCTGGAACAGGAAAGACACCTTTTCAATGAAGGACCCCTTTTGAAGAACCCTTGAAGTTCCATTTTTAACTTCAGGGTTATTGCTCAATGCGGGCTGATGTGCTTGCTTTTCGAAAAGGTGTTCTGTATTCGCTAGCTGCTAGTTGATGGTTTTTGGCGTTCTGGCCGCCATGTTCCTTGTCGCATCACGACTTTGCCTTGCCTTGCCCGTCGTTGCTCAAACAAAGTCCCTTACGGCTGTGTAAACACCCTTCTCAGCAGGTTGCCTGCAGTGCAATTTGGACAACCGTGGCCAGTCGCGGCTCATAGACGAGGGGTGCCAATCAGCACAACAGCCTTCCTTTTTAAACAGCGGCGTTTGAAGACTGGGCCGCTGCATTTGCTGAGGTCCAAACACTTGGTGCTGGATTTCCACTTGGGCCCAGGGCAGTATGCGACCATGGCGATGCGAGAGGACCGGCGCATGCGTTTTTTGCGATGACTCGTTCCGACTCTTTGCGATGTTTTCTCTGCGATTCGTTGGCATGAAATTGTCCTTGACGGCAGTGCCGGATGCATCACAAGACCTTTGTGCAGCACAACACCTAAACGGAAAAGAACGGAAGCCCATTTGTTGGTGTTGGATGTGACATCACGCAACACTCAGAGACACCTCCATGCTCGCGCCCTTTCTGCGGTTCATGCATTGCTTCAACACGTGTCTATGAGTTCATGGAGGTGATGACGGCACGCCCTGGCAGGTAATGAGGGCACGTGCCAGTGCAGCTCCACGGCACATCGTCTTCGAAAGTGACAGCGAGGCGCGGAGTTTCGAGCGGCGTGTGGATTCCAGATGTGCGCATATGCAACCAATCATATTTTGGCTCGAGCAGGCTGCTTCAAGCGATAGATTCAAACGACGCAAGAAAGAGCTCAAAACTTGATCGTACACATGTATATTTGTATTTATGTATATAATACATATAATATAATTATGTTTGACACCGGTATTAATTTGTTAAAGAACATTTAATTAAAACATATATTATAATATTCGAATTAAAAAAAATAATGATTTATATTGTTTGACCCCGTACCTTAACTTTGTGTAACGCGCCCTTTCAATACAAACATCTTATACTAATCGGAACCTACTTATAATTGTACCTATATATATAAAAATGGTAAATAGAAATGATAGAGGTTATGAAAATAAGACACTAACCCCAAGCAATTAGGAGTGTGGATTATGCCGTGTTATTCGATTGCCAATCTACGCGGAGATTGACTATTTCCCCCCGCCCCCCCCCCCCCCGGGGTGCCAGCCGGGTATTTGACAGCCCGCGACCCTCTAAAAAATGTGCCGGTAAGAGACAGAGTCCCTCTGGCCACCCCCCCTCCCCCCCCCCCCCCCCCCCCCCTCCCGCCCCCCCACGGCCCCCCTCCCCGGAGGCTACACGTCCGTTGACTCGTTTCTGCGGTGCTGTGTAGTAGTGAGGGGCTGCTTTTCTGGTGACCAAGAAACAGCAAGTATGTGCAATTCCACAACAGTGGGGGGGTTGTCTGAATGCCAAAGGTGTAACACTGCCCTACATGTTGGTCATTACCTCCAAGTAGAGTGAGGGGGGTGGGGTGGACACTTCCATGGTCGTCGTTGGGTGTGGATGGGCGGGGTGGGTGTATGGGGTGGATGGGCAGTGTGGGTTGGGTGGGGGGGGGGATTAATGGGGCGCGGGGGGGGTGGGGGGGGTGGGGGGGCGGCGGGGGGGCGGGGTGAGGGGGCGGGGGGGGGGGGGGGGGGGGGGGGGTGGGGGGGGGGGGGGGTGGGGGGCGGGGGGTCATGGGGTTGGGCGTGGGGGGGGGTGAGGTGGGGGAGGTTAGGGGGGAGCATGGGGGGGGGGAGTTGGGGTATTGGTGTCATGGGTGAGTGGGTTACGTTGGGGGGTGGTTGTGGTGGCAATAGTATGTATTATAGGGCCGGGCTCTAGGGGGGGGGGGGGGGGCGGGATGGGGGGCGGCCAGGGGCGGGGGCGGGGGGGGTGAGGGGGGGGGGGGGGGTTAGTGAAATATTAAGAATTTGATAGAAGTAATTTAGTGTTAAGGGGTGGTTGGGGCTGGCGGGGGGGGGTGGAGTGAAGGGGGGCGGTGGGGGCTAGGGGGGGGGGCGAGCTGTACGGTGGGGGAGGTGGCCGGGGTGGGTCGGGTGGGGGGGGGGTCGGAGCGGTGGTGGGGTTGGCAGGAGGGGGGTGTGGTGTGTTGTAAGTTGGTCCGGTGGCGGGGGGGGTTGATGTTGAGCGTTGTTTTGTGGGGGGGCTGTTGGGGTCGCGTGTGTTGTTTGTGCGTGGTGTGTGGGTGTGGTTCTCGGGGCGCCTCATGTGTGTCATAGTAAAGGTTCCCTCCAGCATCCACAACCCTTCAGCCCACCTGGCTCAGCTCGGGGGTCTCAAATAAGCCATCAACGGGAACCTCATGGACCCTCACCCCCCAACTTAATCCCATAAAACCCTCACACACACACCCAACCCCCGCCTCCACATACCCAACCCCTCCAAGGCGCCCACACTACTGAGGGCGGGTTACAACCCCCCATCCCTGCCCGCACCTCACAACCACCGCACGCAACAAAGCCATCCCCCCCCCGCCCCGCCCCCGCAGTGGGGGGGGGGGGGTGTTTTTTTTTTTTAACCACCCCCACCCGCGGGTTTTTTTTACGTTTTCGGTTTTTTTTTGTTCTTTTTTTTTTTATTGATTATAAGAATTGATGAGGGTAGGCCCTGCTTACTACGTCCAATTAACCCACCGACGACTATATCAACCCCCCCACCCACCCCCCACCCACTATACAACAACCTCCGGGGGGTCTGATGCCGTTTTTTTGTCTTGTTTTAGTTCACCCACCACCTTTATTTTTGCGCCTTTTTATTTTTTTGTTTTTAAATTATTCAGTATAATTACACCACAGGCTTTACGCGAACACCACCCTCCACAACATTGGTGCTTATTCCTTCACCAATTGTCTTATCGTTTAGACGGCTTGGAGATAAGGGGCTCCCTTTTTGAGCGTAATTGTGGTTGTTCATTCCTATGTCCGGTTTAGTTTTAAATTGAATTATTGTTTGTAATATTGTTGATTCCGGCGAAGTATATATTATATCCCCCCCCCCCCCAACCCATTATAATATATTTTACGGGGGGCCCTGAACATGGTTTAGGCCCGCCACCCCCCCCCCGCCCCTACCCCCCGCCCCTCCCGCCCCCCCCCCTTTTATTATATTAATTTATAACCCCATCACCCGGAGCCCTGTATATTATATGGCCGATTTTCGATTATAACTAGAAACAAATGAGGAGGGCGCGACAGATATATAAATCCCCGGTTAAAAAGAATAATATTTAAATTAAAAGAATTGGGAAATATTTAGGTATTAAGAAAATAAGATTTAATAAGATTACCCGCGCCCCCCGCCCCCCCCACCCCCGAATTACCCCTCCCGCACCCCCCCCGCCCCAGCCCCCCCACTCCCCGCGGACCCCGCCCCTACCCCTATTTGCGCCTCCCCCCCCCCACGCGGGCACCTGCCCGCTCCAAGGGCCTAAGCACTGGCGGAATAAATATAAAAAACTGCAGGATGATGTAGGTATGTTTGGAAGATAGCTCGGATCCGCTGTTCGCCCACCCCCCCGGCCCCCCTCGCCCCTCGCCCCCCCCCCGCACGCGCGCAATCGTGATCTAGCGGTCCTCCAGCTCGCGGGCGCATCATAGGTTTAACGGAGCCCAAGACGATACTTAAGTGTATTAATAAGTTTGCCACACTAGATTTATAGGCTCATATCTCGTGCAGAAGAAGAGCTTGCCCACCGGGGCGGCACTGGGCTTTTCCCGATGAGAGAACCCCCCCAAACCAGATAACCCGCCTTCCCCCCCCACTCCCCGCGCCCCGACTCCCCGCGCGCGCCCCACCCCCCCCCCACTCGGGATTCGAGGGGCCCCGCGCGCCCCCCCTACCGCTACCGCGCACCCACCCCACAGGGGCCTCGCGCCCCCCCCCCGCCCGCCCGCGCGCGCCCGCCTCTAGCTCGCGCGCGCGCCGCGCGCCTGCTCGACGCGCCCGACGCGCTCTTCTCGGCGCGCCGCCCGCGCACGCCCGCCCCCGCGCCCTCTCCCCCGCCCCCGCCCCCTCCCATCCCCCACGGCCGCGGTGCCCCTCCCCCTCTCCCTCGCTCGTCTCCGCTCCCCCCCTCCCCCCCCCCCTCCTATACCCTCGCGCGCCCGCCCCATATGCGCGCCGCCCCCCCAGCACTCGCCATCGCAGCACAACCCGCCCCCCCCCCCCTCGCTCGGCTAGTCGGGATGCTCGCCAGCCCCCCCTCTCGTCCCTCGCCCCCGCTCTCCCCCGCCCCCGCCCCCCCACTGTCTCCACCCCCTCCCCCGCCCCCCTGCCCCCCCCTCACCCTAGACCCCCCAGCCCCCCCCCTCCCCCGCCGCGCCCATGCGCGGCGAGCTCTGGCGGCCTGCCATCCCCGGCCGCGCCCCAGCACCAACCGGGGCGCCGATCTCTGCCCTCCCGCCAGGACGCTGTCTTCGGCCCAGCGCACCATGCCGGAGCAAAATCAGCAACGACACAGTGCTACCAAATAGACAGACGCGGACACGCGGAAATAGACAAAAAGACACAAAAAGACGCAAAGAAATAGAGACGAACGACAGACACGGACACATAGAGACAAGCAGAGACAAACCGAGACAACTCGAGAGACAGAGAGACACAGACAGACAGATAGAGACAGAGAGGCGCAAACACCAAAAAGAAACAGATTGGGATACACAGAGATGCACAAAGATAGACAGAGATTACGAAATAGATAGATACGGACACACGGAAACAGACTGAGACACAGAGAGAGGCAAAGATACGGAGACACCCGGCACGAAATTTTCGAGAAATTTCGACTCGGACAGGTCCCCAAATTTCCCCGAAATTTGGCCCGTTTTTTTTCCGGAAAGCCGCCAAATTCTGAAGAAATTTGCGGGGGTAACGTCCGGAAACCTAAGAGCCGCGTCGCTGGAAGCGACCCAAAATTCGGGAAAATTTGGCCGGGTTACGCCGCGGGAACTCTAAGCAAAGTTGTTAATGTTAAGAACCCCCCGAAATTTCGGCAAAATTTCGGGGCCTTCCGGGCCGCGCGAAGAGGCGGGAGCTTGTGCTGCGGAGAAAAGACCGGGACAAGCATAGCCGCTCGCCGCAGGCACTACGATTCGGCCGGAATACCGCTGCAACGGCTTGCCGATGCACAGGAAATGCGACCTCGAGGCCGTACCGGTTTATAGGAGAAGGATAATATTGTAAAACACATTCCTAAATCAAACAAATCAAAAACGAAACAATACAAACAAAAAACAAAGAATAACAAATATTATTTTCTTTAAAATGTATTTTATTTTTTTTCTTTCTAAATATCAAATATTTATTATGTTTATCAATCAATCCTTCTAGGTATTTTCTAAATCAATCTTTCTAATTATATCCGTCCATCAATCTACCAATGTATCTATTTATCTTATATATAATTTAATCTATTATCTATCTGATTCTCTATCCACCTTTCTATGTTCTCTCTGCCAGTCAATGCATCTATTTCTTTCTCTTTCATCGTTTCCTTCCTGTTTTCTATCTTTCTGTCTCAGCGATCTTATCAACCCATCTATCTTGCGAATGTGCGCTACAAATCTGCATCTGACCTTGCGAAAGCCCCTACTACAAAATCCGCGCTTGGCCTTGCGAAACTGGTGCGCTTAATTAAACATTGTGGATTTGCTACATTCTGATGTATATATATATATATGTAAACATGGATATACACTGCTATTTTTCAGTTGCGAGGCGGGAGCTCAAGCTTGGCTGCCATATCTGCTTGCGCGACCTGAGGCATGATGGGTTCCAACTAATATTGTTGGTAAGTTAACTCTATAAACTTTGCAGGAAGGTGTCAAGCATCCCCCTGCGCACCGGGTTCAACATGTGTCATCAACTTCCTTCCTGACAGAAACATTTACAATGGAGAGAACGTGGCCAGTCGCGGCCTCTGGCGGCTCCTGACCGTCCCAAAAAGCCACTTGTCATGTGGCAACTGCTGATCTAGCGCCATTGTGTGCTCCAAAACACATCTTCCAGCCAAGCAACGCTCCGATCTCCGGCTCGCGGTCGGCTGGCACCTTTGGGCCAGTGCCATTTATTCGCTTCACTGAAAACCCTGCGAAGTTCGCAAACTGCAAAGAACACGTTTCAAACACTGAACTCATTCAATACGCGGAACCGTGAAACAAACGTCCATAGGGAACCTCACCGGAGATGGCTGGCCAATGTGGAGCCGACCAAGCCTAAAACTTAGGACAACTTGGCCACCGGTATTTTCTCCAAACTTGGCCACCGGGGAATGGAACCATTGGATGGGCAAGCGCTGCCTGCAGTGCGCTCCGCGTACTTTGATGCGTTGGGCTCCGCTGATTGGGTTGGAGGTTTCAAGCTCGCCCGCAGTGAGTGGCTTGGAAGCTGTGGCGTGCAGTACTCACATGGGCGAGTAAGTGTGGGCTTCTCAAGTGCTTGCCTCAGAGAAGT